GCAGTAAGGGGTTGGTTTGTCGCAGACGTTCTAGACTGTAGTTCACTTCCTAATCCGCAACTTAGGCAGCCATAACTGCAGTTTCATAAAGAACGTACCTCCGTGAAAGCGTCTAACACATTAAAAGTACTGGAGAATATTTACAATTTTAAGAAGTGGGCACGCGATGGATAAGAGGATGGTTGTGGTCGAAGTCAGTGGGGAATATAGACTGAAACAGAGGATCATTTAATCAAGGAAGGTACGAGTCTCATGTTTAGTACTGTGTAAAATTTGATGTAAATGCTCCATTCCGCTTCAAAATCAAAATGAAGGTGGGAGCAGTCGGAACTGCAGCACTAACGAAGAAGTGAAATGGACTGTTCTTTAATGCATTGGCTATGCAGGCAGCTCATTTTAGTTTGCATCTTTGCTGGTATTAGCTTAATAGCTTTCATTTCTTGTCTCAAATTTAAACAGTCTGCTTTGTGGCTATATTTCTTAACTTTCGCATAGGTTGTAGGATCGTGTTCCGAAAAGGGTGTCACTTGTAAGCTCATTAAAGCACTCGTATGCAATACTCAGCAAACCATTCGATTTGCTATTGGTGAACCATGCTGTATTGCCTGATTTTTACCGATTTTGGTCTGTTGAGACAACATGTTTCTATGGTATTTATTAGAGTTATCGAAATCAACAAGTGAGCGATGTCGTTGGGTCTACCAGAAGCGAAGCCGGACACGATGGAGGAGATTTTCTCCGAAAAGTGTCAGCGCATCGAATTGGAGGCCTACAGTCTCTATCACTTTGACGAATTAGTGATAGATGGGCGCAGATATCAATACCGCCTTTCCTCCAAAGGCGACGTAATGACCGTGGTTTGTAGACTTGCGGGTCAGGATCTTCTCCTCGTCTCCGTGTGGACTAACATGGAGCATGAGAATCGCATTCGCGAGATCCATCAACACATCCTGGAGCGTGAAAAAGCCACTCCTCCTCTTGATCCTAATCAAGGCCGGGGTTAGTCGTCTTTCGTTTCCCTTCAACACGTCAATAGACATTGTGATGTCTAGTCATCATTGACAGTTGAGGTAGATCACTAACTTGAGCTACTTTTAAGGAGAGAGTCGCCCTTCTGTTTCAGCCATCACTGAGAAGCTTAGCAAATCTATTTGCAAAGCAGGTTTAAGCATAGCATCAAACTCGTTAAGTCGCTGTTTTTCCCCAAAACTAGCCTTGGTACGAGAAGTGGAGAAGTTCCATTTCAGTGAATATGCAATTTGGCATCTCACTGGCACAGACTAGAATAAGGCAGCTTCACAAGGTGCTGGAGTTGTCATAAACAGCTGCGTAACTGGATTGATTTTATCTGAGTTGGAGGTTGTTGTGTGGACTCTTACGATGGACGTTTGCCAATTACCGCCCATTTCAGCAAAATATCTCGTTTTTTGCAGACGGTTCAACCGCGCCAACATTCAAGGGCTTTGTCTTCAACCGTTTCTACTAAGATGGGCAAGGTGGGTATTTGCTTTGTTTTAGCAAGATTTCTTTTGATAACCTGCTTTTCAACCTTTTTCTCTCCTCCTAGTCAACCGCATGTCATTTCATCTTCACTGCGAAAAGCGGCAGTTTTAGACATTCTTCTCGGTGTAAATAAATCGTGCCAACGTCCACTAACTCTGTGCATTTAAGACGTCTCTCGTTTTAGCATTTGTAAAATGTGCGTTTTGTATGGGATTCATTCCTTTCTTTTAATGAAGAAAAAAAACAGTCGCGTCACTCATCGTGTTTTTGAACTCCCTTGAACCGATATGTTTTGGTGTTTGCGCCTTTGAAAGTCATTATCAGGACGGATTGTTGACTTGTTGTTCTAGTCAACCTTGGGAGGCTGTAGATCAGTCTTTTAGCCTGAATGTTTCGCAGAATCGAGTATGGTGTGCATGACTCAAGTGCTTCGAAGGTGCCTTCTGCGATTTATTAGTCGGTAGCATCATCTGACGTCGAACTTGACACCAATCTGGTGTCTTGGTCTTGCAAGCTGCGCTTCTGAGGTCGTGTTCAATTGTCGAACCATTGGGTGGGATTTGCTGTCACCTTCAACAAAATGTGAATGGCTTTAGCTGGGTATTTTGCACAAGTCTTTCCTTTCGGCTTCTTCATTCGCAAAAGATCCCATTCTTATTCAAAGCAGTACAGAATGGATGCATGAAGTAGCGGATAGAAGGTCAAGTCCGCGAAATTACCTTCGCTAAGCTTCCAGAGCGTAACTCGATCAAACCTCGGATGGCGGTTGACGTTAATCTTCACACAGACTGCTCCTCAACCATGTCACCAATCCTCGCATCTGCAGCACAGCCACAGCATCCTCTATGTGGTACATATTCATCTCCCCTGCCGTCACACCTCCCTTGCAGTAAAGTACGATTTGCAGAAACACTTGCTACAGGAGTGACGCCTGAGAGAGCACCCTACAACCGCTTTGATGACACACACAGACACATTCACCGGCTCACCTTGCGCACTCACAAGTCCTCATTGGCCCAGTCAAACCACCATTGCCACTGCAATCCTACACAAATAAGAAAGTTAGACTTGCAGAGCAGACTTATGAATATATTTATAGTGATGCTCTTTGCATGAGGACAAGAGAAAGGAGAGAAATACCAGTGTAGAGGATTGAGTCGACAAGTGTGAGTGAGCGAGTGTACAAGGCGTGTGGGATTGACACGCGTCTGTTGTTCTGCAGTCTGCCTTCCATTCTGGTTTCGGAGTTGGGACTGCGCATGTAGTGCAGTAGTAGTAGTAGTAGTATTGGTAATAATATGTACACAGGAAAGAAAGTAGGAGAAAGGAGGGAAGGAGGAACCTTTTTATGTCTACGTCAGCTGCCACAGAGCCGAAATGCGATGCTAGAACGGCTGGACTACCATAGCCAACCAACTTCATAATTGAACCACGAACATACCCCGTGATGAGGGCTGGCTACTTGCCACATAGACCGGTGCACGACTATTCCTCGCTGTTGAACATAGGCCGTTCGGTTGGACTTGGGACTGCTGATGCTGATGCTGAGTTTGTTGTTGCTGTTGTGGTGGCGGCGGTGGAGGTGGTGGCCGTTGCTGCTGCTCCTGATATTTCCTTTGGTAAATTTGTTGTGTCTGTTCATATCCATTTGTGCTAGAGAACGGAGCCGGAAACTGTGGCTCACCTCCGTTGTAAGGATAGCTTTCAACATACCCTCCCCCTCCTCCTCCTCCTCCTCCCCCTCCTCCTTGTTGCTGCTGCCAATAGGGTGTTGTGGTAACTGGTGGAGATATCTCCTTGATACTCGACGGAGCCATTAGCGGTGGGCTCCATGTGGATGGCGTCTGCGGGGATATCCGATCCTCCTGCTTCAGTATCCCACTGCTACTGCTACACACCGAAGGATCGGGTTTGATTATTTCGTTGCAAAAGGATTTTGGGTGCCACTTTTCACTCCCTGCTGCAGTTGTGGTTGGAGTATCTCCAGGAGGGGAAATTTGGGAATTCTGGTAATGTGGGGTGTACTGTGTTGATGAAGTTGCGTTGTCCGTCCCGCCCAAAGCTGTATCCATCTCTGAACCGGTAGCCTCCTCCTCCTCCTCTGAATTGCTAGAAGTAGCAGAACTCTCACTGTCTCTGTGCTCTTTCACAGCTGGATGACGTGATGTTGAAGCTCCTGATGATGAGGGGTTCCTTCTTTGTTTATATTCTATTAGTAATGCCAACATCCGATTGAAGCCCCGAGATTTAGCTTCGCTTATTGGGGAACTGTCGGTATAGTCAAACACATCGATCACCGCATGATGTTCCAGCAGGATTTGTGCCGCTTCCAGAGAATTCTCCCTTACCGCAAGCATAAGCGGAGTTCTGTCACAGTCGTCTCTAGCTTCTAGCATTCGTGAGAAGCCTTTCGTGTGTGAGATACGAGTTAAAAGTGGTGCTGCATTCAAAACCGCCGCCCAGTGAACAAGATTTCTACCCGTCTCATCCACACCTTGAATAGAACAGCCCTCGTCAAGTAAGAGTTTAGTCACCTCTGTACATCCAGCCTTGAGAGACACCATCAGCGGTGTTGATCGCCGAGACTCCACGTGCCTTGTACGACGTCGAGCTTCTGTGGACGGTTTTTCACCTGAAACTCCTGCACCCTCTGTAGTGGATGCCGGAGGTACAGACTGGGAACTTGCAGCACTTCTACTGCAGGTAATCGCCTCTCT